TGTGATGTGAGTCTATAGGTCTATTTGGATGATGGCGATATTGATGTCATGCCATGAGCCTATAGGTTCGAGGGATGATGACGAAAGCTCACAGACCCATTGTGATGATATACATAGTTATTAGAATGATATATGTGATATTTTGGGGAACTCACTAATCTTTATGCTAACGTTTTAGTATTAAATGTTTTGCAGGTTGTTCTTCTGATCATGGAAAGGGCCCAACATAATTGTACTGCATTTGCATCGATGATGATTTATGATTTTAATCTTCTGTTGATTTTATGATCATGATATACTATTTCATGACTTCGTTTTTGTGATAGTCGTAGACTATTGGTATTTCCATATTTTATGAAAATGGTTGTTTTAGTTATACTTTTTAAAGGAAAATTTTAGGTTGAAATTTGGGATGTTCCACTAACTATTAATATAATAGTAGGCGAGAAAATATCTCATTAGAATAGTTTTATTACATCATAAACACTAATCTTTTTCTTTTGTGGCCTTCCTTACATCTCTTTGAACTTGTGTTCTAGTACTTTAAATTGTTGTTTGATTCCCATAATAGAGCACCTTGATTTGTATACTTTGGCTTCTTTGACTATGTATCTTGCATAAGATCATGGTTAAATAAGTTTGTTGTCTTAGGTTATTTTTATTTTGTAAAAGTATCATCATCTAAGTTTTGTTCTTCATGGAATAAATATTTTCTTTGTTTTGCTATGCACATGAAGACATGACGAATTGAGGTCTTTGAACATCTTATTTAGCATTAACTTATGTAGGAACAATAAAACATCAAATTTAATCCACAAATTCTAGGAAATGTACAACTTTTATTATTAAGATGAGTGACACCATGGTCTTGTGTTAATGTTATTTGTGATTGATAGGATTTTTATTTAGGGTTTTACTAATGTGTTTACTTATTTATTTTTGCATTTTCCTAATTTGGTATAATATGTAAAACTTTCGTATATATTGAAACTCTTTTTCTATTTGAATTGGACTCTCTAGTGTATAGAAAGGATTTTAGAATAACATTGTTGTATAGAGTTAATTTATTAATATAGTTTCGTTGTAACATGTTTTTGTCGGTTAATTTACTAATATAGCTTTGTTGTAACGAATGTTTTTGTCTGTAAAAGTTATATGTTGCAGTATTGATAAAGTGTTGTAATAATCGATAAAAGTGTTGAACTTGTATAATAGAAAAAATAAAAGTATTGCACTTGATAAGTAAAAGTGGGATCGAGTACGTAATTGAAAAGTGTTGCACCTATTGTCAAAAGTCTACTTAAAAAGTGTTGCATTTTAAGGACATACAACACTTCCAAAAACCATTGAATATTGCGTTGAATATTCGGAAAAAATGTTTCTTTTGGCTTAAGGAAACAATATTTAAGGTGGTACTCAGTAAAGTGTTTGAACTCCATATTGCAACATTCCAAGGCCTCATATGGTCTTTGATAATTTTTATTCATTTTGTTGTAGTGTGAGACCCAACTAATAAAGTATTGTGAATAAAGAATTTAATTATAAATATAAAAGTAAAGGTAAAATTTTATATTTACGTGAGATTAATGTTTTATATGTGACGGTGTTCATATGATCGATGATGTGTAATTGAAACAAAAAATAGTTAAAGGGATGAAAAACTTTAAGAATCCAAGGTTTTTATTATTTTATTTTTACTTTTTTGTAAATAACAAATATTATATATATATATATATATATATATATATATATATATATATATATATATATATATATATATATATATATATATATTCAGGTTCATTTGAGACCATTCTACTTTTGTGAGACCGTGAGATAAAATCTAAAAATAATTTTAAAATGCAAAATAATTGGAAAAATCCAAAAATTCTTTTTTTTTTTTTTTAAATATTATTTTCGGAAGTTGAATTAACTAAAAAAAAGTAATAAATAATAAAAAAAATAAAAAAAAAATCTCTTTTTTTTTTTTTGAAAAATACGTGAAATATTCTAAATAGAATATTACACTGATATATTCTAAAAAATAATTTTAAAATGCAAAATAAATGGAAAAATCTAAAAATTCTTTTTTTAAATATTATTTTCGGAACTTGAATTAACTAAAAATAAATAAAAAAAATTCTATTTTTTTTGAAAAATACGTGAAATATTCTAAATAGAATATTACACTATACATATTCTAAAAATAATTTTAAAATGCAAAATAAATGGAAAAATAAAAAAATCTTTTTTTAAATATTATTTTCGGAACTTGAATTAACTAAAATTTTTTTTTAAAAAAATAAAAAAATTAAAAAAATGCATCTCACGGTCTCACAAAATTAGGCCGTCTCACATGAACCTAACCCTATATATATATATATATATATATATATATATATATATATATATATATATATATATATATATTAAATTTCTCTCATCTTAGCTACAGTACCTGACCACAGGTACTGTAGCTTGGTTCATAGGGTTAGTTAGTGTACCATGGTTATAATTCCACTGCTTCTTTTTTGTTCTAGATCCGTTCACAGCAATCGACACTTCTCTGTGATGTTTATCTTAGTTGCTATTTCTCGATTCTTCTCCACATCTTCGCTTCACATCCTCATCAAAACCATCTGAGCCGGTGAGATTCCCCACTTCTTCTGCTCTTCAGTCCATCGTCTGATATTCACCACTTCTCTCTCATCCCACTTCTTCCAGCTGAATAGTACCTCATCAGGCTACCGTTCATCAGAGTACTACACGGATTACTTCCGGATCCTTTTACTCTGCTGCTCCAAATTCCCACCGCTCACCTCAACACAGTTAACAATCACATCATCTGCATGTATCTACCAATACCTTCACCGGGAATATCGCCATGTGCCTACGAGGATTTGAATCAGAGAAAGTTACTGTTTCTTGCTTTCACTCTACACTTACTCCACTACGGCCATCTTCATGTCTCCTCCGTTTCATCTACTTCTTGGATTTGACTTCCCATCGATCTGCAACAATCGATTTAGGGATTATTGTTCCAGGTATGTAACCGATTTGAACTATTTTTTGATTTAAACTCATTTACTAGGTCTGTTTATCTTTCAAAAATCAGAAACGATGACGGGCAAGAAGCTTATTGATCATAGGAAAAGAAGATTGAGGGTATTTGGTTAAATGTCTTAATGAAAAAACAAAAGTTAAAGTGTGCTTCAGTTTGATCCCATCTGATTCCTTTTCTTTGATTTTTTGTTGCATCATAGGTTCGATTTGGTTGCAAGGAGGGAGCAACGGCCTAAGGGGCAGTAGAGAATCCCAGCAAGAGTTTTTCCCATCTGCAATATCATCAGAGGTAAATTAACCTGGTTTTCCTTTCCTCATAAATCGAAACCCTACTCTGCTGTCCTTTCTTTTTTCTCCTTTTTAATATATTAAATATAAATCTGTTATTTTTTTTACAGAAAATTTTTCTGTAAATAACAAATTATGTTTTTTTTTACAAACGTTTGAAAATAATGCTTACTTATTTTGTTGTAGAGGAGGATAATCAATATATGGGATGTATATGAAACCCCACATGTTGTAGTTGGGATTTTCTCTGGAAATACTTTGGGTATCTTTGGCTCTTGAGTAACTCAAAATATATGTAGATTCCAGCAAGTTTTCCCTAAATTCCGATTCAAATTTCAGAAATTCTACACCGAGTCAGCTTTGTTTGCCATTGTTCTTTATTATTCACCGTGCAAATAGAGTCTTTCCTTTTCGTATTAGGTTGCATTATGTTGTTATTAAGGTTTTGCTGAATTTCAGTTTGGGTTTGGTGTAATCATACAGATATACTGTTCATTTAATAGCTAGAAAATTACCTTGTTGCTATGTTTCAGAATTGAATAAATAATTTTTTATTATTTCTTATAACTAAGCTTACTGTCTACTGTTTTCGATATATTAACGGGATGTAAAACACTAAACTATTGCTATGGTTGCAGACTTATTGCTACCTGTTTATCAAGACTACAAGTTTCGATATATTGTAAAATATATTCTTTTACTAAATTTTTTAAACTGTTTGTTACTCCTTCGATCACGATGTTGCGGTTAAAGTTTATTTTGATAATCAATATAGTGAGAAGGCTTTGCAGGACTACAATAAAGAGGTATAACCACTTTTACTTTATTTATTTATTTTTTCAATCAAACAATAAAATATATCACTTCGATATGAACTATAATGAATTGAGTTTTTAACTTCAAATTGATATAATGAAGAGACCACGTCATCCAAATGTGTTACTTTTTATGGGATCTATATGGTCACAAGATAAACTTGCCATCGTCACAGAATAATTATCCAAGTAATTATTTAAAAGATCTTTACAAAACTATAATATGACATCATGTTAGCAAATAAATGCATAATTAGTTTATAATATATCCAACACGTATTCACTTTAGATTACCATGGTTGCTTATTAAATATAACATAATTTTATAATCTTGAATCTTTTTGCAGATGGAGATAGAACTGAATTAGATAAAACGTTAAAGAGACCTTGCAGAATCACAGCTACAAATAGGGCAGTTGTTTCAGATAGATCTGTGAAGGTCCAAACCGAGATTTGAACCCGACTTTTATTTAATTTTTTTTTTTTTTTTTTTAATTTCCCACCTGTCTTATCTCCTTAATTGCAACTTATTCCCCTATATTTGTCTTCTTTTTGTTTGTTTGTCTCTGTATTACCAATCAAAGCGGACACAAACGATATTTCAACTGCAGTGACTCAAGAACGTAAAATGTATTCGATTGGAAAATTGTTGGGTTACGATCAATTCAACGCCACAAATACGCATAAAGTTTTCCTAAACTGTAGAATCTATATGATTTTTACTCCTTTTTCTGGGAGTGTGATTGTTTCAGCTTTCTTTACAGCATAATAGATTATATTTTCATCCTCTTTATCCCATTTTATTCTTAAAAATATTTTCATGATGTCACAAATATGCTTATCAACCTATTGATGTGTTGTTGTAAAAGTCCAACTTTAATGTTCATGTTATTAAATGACATGGAAAATAGGTTATATTTACTATTAGTAAGAATGTAACAGTAATCTATTGGTTTCTTAGTTTTATACTTATATCTTATTTTATTATCATCATTTGCTATTTTATCACGTTTACTGTTACAGTTTACAGCAAATGACAACACTGTTATAGTCTCTTTTCTCTGGTACACAACCACCCACTAGGTAAAAAAAAAAACTACCTCTTTTTATTGGTCAACTGGACTGTTGACTTTTAGTTGACAATGCACTTCATTGTTTGATATAAATTTTCTGTTTGGTTAACATTTTTTTATATATATACAAATTTACAACTACATCATATTAAATATTATTATATTAATAATAATGATATTTTTTTGTCTAGCAGGTTGGCCTGACAACCTGGGCTTGAAATCAAATATGCTTATGAACATGTTTGGACGACTTGAAACTGGTGGCTTCACAATGCCAAACAATACAAATGGTAATTAAAATATTTACTTATTATTTACTATCAAAACCATCCTTCATATGTCACAATTTGAATTGGTAAGACTGTCATTAGAAAATTTTGAAGAAACTGAGGAAGCACACCATGTGTTTTTATAAAATGCATAGTTGAAATTTGGGTGTTTGTAAAAAGTTTTATCAATTGGATCAATGTAGAGGTCCGGTTGCTAAAAAGTTCCTCCTATGTTTTTTTCATTTTCTGGTGTGCTTTATTTTGAACGGAAATGTTTTAAGTGTCCCTTATATGTAGTTTATGACTCTCTTATATGTAGTTTATGGTTGCCTACAAGATCTTCTGAATGTGTATGTTTAATTTTAACAGTTTTTGATCAAAGCAAAAACAACAAATCACTAAATAGTGATTTTAACAGTTTTTTTTTTTTCCAAAATGCCCATGCATATTGTTTTTTTGATAAAAATAATAACTGTAATAGTTTTCACCAAAATGGCGCTACATACTGTTCTTTTATTAAAAAAATCGTGCTTGTAAGATTTTCTTTGTCCAAAATGCTTATGTATACTGTTTTTTGATAAAAAAAAATGATTTTAACACTTTCGACTGACTGTCCCTATATAGTGTTCTTTTGTTAAAAAAATAGTTATTTACAGAGCTTTTGATGGGAATGCCCTTACATACTTTTACTTTTTATTAAAAAAATAATGATTTTGATGTTATTTGTCCAAAATGCCCCTATATAAGGTTTTTTGGGTAAAAATTAATGATTTTATAGTTTTTAACCAAACTGCCACTCCATATAGTTTTTTTTTTTTTTTTGTAAAAGTTATTGATTTTAGTACACTTCACTGAAAGAGGAGGACTTGGAGAATGCCAAATTTATTTCCTACCTTTGATGTTGAATAAGATTTAACGAAATTAATTATTTTTAATATGTAGTCACCAAGAGATTTTACTTTTGAGAACTTTGTCTTTTTTATTTTTCGTGTTTATTGGTAAGTAAGAGGCATTACCAATTGGAATTCAATTCCGGTCGATTCCTGATTTTGATTACAGAAGGGTATGGAACTGAATTGCACGGGAATTCAAGAAATACTTGCATGTCGTAGATTTATTTTCTTATAAAACAACTTATTACAGATTTATTATAGGCTTCTCTAATTCACAGGATACTTTTTTTTTTTCATAAATTGAAATGTGCTCTGATCTCCCTTATTTGAAGATCTTATTTACATATTTAATGTAGGATTTTTTATTTTTATTTTTAAATATTTTCAGTGTTTAATTGAACTTTTCTTGGTTATAGATTAAACCAAACTTTTTTTAAAAAAATTTCTGTTACAAAATCAGCACTTAAGGGATCTCAAAACTGCAAGAGCTTATCAAGATTTAGATAATACTGCCAAGTACTTTGCAGTCCTCACACTCCTAGGCCATGAACAATTATGCTTCTGGCTCTCAACCGTTGCAGCCAGTTTACTCATCATAGCACATCTAGCAATCAACCGGTCTGCCAGACTGCATAGAAGGTAATAACAAAGAATGAGGTCCACGAAATGCATTTTTATGCAGTCCAATTTTTTGAAGGGTATATTGGTCATTTTCTTATATGTTTTCTCATTCCCTTTCATTTATAGATTCCACTGGGTTTGAAGCTACACGGGAGACCCGATAAAGGTCAAGGAAGATGAATTGGAGCAGTACCCACGAGAGGAAGCAGTTGGGTTGGTGCTGCCTTAGACTAAATTTGGTTAAATTAATTTTGTACCCAACATACGTGTTTTAAAAAGAGAATATATCTCAGTTTGCTTCTACTTTACTTCATTTTTTAAGCATCATACTTTCATAGTCAACCAATTATAGCATCATACTTCCATGACAAACGACTTATAAACGATGACACCATCTTTAATGTAATGTCTTCCATCGGTTTTCTTTGACATAAGTGTCGAATCCAAACCCCGCAAAACGGAGGCTTCTTATCTAGTTATTGATAAAAAAACTGAAAGAGTAGCAAGCAACTATGAGTGGAAAGAAAGAAAAGCAACCATAAAAAAACAAGAACATTAGAAAACGAAATTGACTTTCCATAGAGTTATAAGATAAAAAAGGAGAAACAGTTCATGCCCCCAACCTTCCAATCCATTTCCCTTGTACTTATTCCATTCTGAGTATGTTAAAGGTCATGATTTCGTCCATTACTTGGATTCTCGAAAGTATTAATGGAATAAGTTTTTAGATCATTAATGTTCAGTTTTAAGTATTTAGACTTTGCATACAAGGTTCTTATGATTTTTTTTTTTTTTGGTAAGTATTGTTTAGTTTTTTTGGACTTATGATTTAGGTTTTTTAGATGAATTTATTCATTCTTATGCATCTTAAATAAATAATATAAATTAGCTTTTGTAATGGTCTATTAAACTTTTTAGCGGTCAATGCACCATAGGAAAAAACTTGGTAGAGTTGTATAGAATGTAGAAAGATGAGATAGTAATTCATTTTACTTTATGAAGTTTAATGTATTATGGAATACCTAAATGATAACTAAACATTGTGAAATTATAAAAACTCTACTTATTAAATAAGTAACATGACTTGTTTACAAATTCAAACAAAAAATTGACAAACTAATTAATTAAAAGAAAACAACTTAAACGAATTATTAAAAAAGCATGTGATTTGATCAAGTTAGATGAACTCCAACATTTCCCTTTAATCTAAATTGTTCAATCAAGATCTTTATCACCCAACAATCCACATATATTGATAAAATTCAGTTTAGGATGTACCTTAGTAAAGGTAGATGCTCATTGTTCTTCGGAACACACATAATTAATTGATACTTATCATTTTTCAGTACATTCGTATATGAAACAGAAACAAATGTCGATGTGCATACTCCTTCCATAGAACACCGAGTTTTTCATCAAAGCTATATTGAACTTGTTTTCTACATAAAGTCAAAAAAGACATGATTTGCATTTGGTAATCTCAAAAAAGACCGGCCGAAAAGAAAATACCTTGGCATGCAGCCGTTGTGACACACCTAAACTCATCTTCACAGTTTGAAACTGCTACATTTTGTTTTTGTTTTGTTTGTTTGTCTGTTTTGTTTTTTTTGTTTTTTGTTTTTTGTTTTTTTTTGTTTTTTTTGTTTTTTTTTTGCTTTGGGGAACCCTAATCGACCATTTTCCAATTAACACACTAACTCATATCTTCACGTTTTTGCAATCATCCATATCATCTCTTAAGTTAATATTAGTCTACCCCAATAATTCATGGTATTTTCATCCTTCTCACAAACCAACCCTAAATCAATAGTACCCTTCACACATACAAGTGTGTGCTTTGCAATTTGTTGATGTTTTGTGTAGGCTTCTCCATATGTATGCTTGTTATGCCAACTACATACATAAAATTAGATCTTATATGTGCGAGATATATTTAACTCCTAATAACTCTTCTATAGTTCATTGACTCAATAGGTCTCCCTAACTACACATCCATTCTCACATTCTACTTCACCTCTATTAGATATTTGGTTGATTTACAATCGATCTTTCAATCACCCGTTTAACATTGATTGGTGTTTTTAAATGAATCCGTCATTGTTTGTAACTTACTTTATTTCCTATATAGTAAAAAATAACCAAAGATTGCTCATATCAAACTCAACACTCATATATTATTTGAAATTCAATAGTTTTGAAATGTTTGTACCTACCACAATCATGTCATAGGTATAAAGTCCAACCACTAGGACCTACCCCCATATCTTGTCTTGTGTTGACATGTTATTGATATCATAAAAAATACCAATCCCCTTAACGTACATAGTTATCCTTGCGTTCCATTCTCTAGGCATTTGGTGTAATCCATAAAGTGCTTTATAAATGATGCCTTTCACTCGTTGTGGTTCCTTAACAAAACCCTCCGGTTGTGAAAAGTATACCTCTTCTTCGAGCTCATCGTTAAGAAAGGCCGATTTCAAGTCAAGAGATGTGTTTAATGAACCTTCCATTTGCATCCTTATTTAGATTATACACCCATTTCAGACCAATAAATTTGGTTCTTATATGGGAGGGATGTCAATTTCCACATACCATTTTTCTCAATTGCTTCGAGCTCAATGATCATCGCTTTTTTACCAATTTCCATCGTTTGTGACTTCAACAAACAATGTTGGTTCTTCCATGACCAAAACAAATGTCTCTTAATCGATTTCAATTCTTTTAGTCTCCATTTAAATATCAAATAATAGATAATATCTTTTTGATGCCCCCATCGATTAACAGTGATGAATATAAGGTCAATTCTCTAATATTTAGTTCAGATGAGCCGACATAAGTCGATTAAGTGGTAGGTGACGAGATGACATGGTTGTATGAATGTAACATCCATTTTTTGAGCATTATTCTTTTGGGTTAATTTTATTGAAAACAAACAATGTTGGTTCTTCCTTGACCAAAACAAATGTCTCTTAATCGATTTCAATTCCTTCAGTCTCCATTTAAATATCAAATAATAGATAATATCTTTTTGATGCCCCATCGATTAACAGTGATGAATATAAGGCCAATTCTATAATATTTAGTTCAGATGAGCCGACATAAGTCAATTAAGTGGTAGGTGACGAGATGACATGGTTGTATGAATGTAACATCCACTTTTTGAGCATTATTCTTTTGGGTTAATTTTATTGAAATCTTGAAGTTTTTGGGGTTTTGGATTGACCATGACATGGTGATGGAGGATCACCATTGAGTTGCAATGCCATTTAAATGGCCGCATCATTTAAGGGACCACGACGTGGTGGTGGATGTGACATCCCCATTTTCACGGCCAGAAAAAACCAATTTTGTTTATGCTTTATAAAAATCAGAGCACCTCTTTTAATAAAAATGTTGCGGAATTTGTTCGTAGTAAAACATGATAAATACGTTATCAAAGCATTTCCGAAGAAAAATATTTTTATTCATTTTAAAACATTTGGGATGTCATCTTCAATACAGAAACATAAGCATAAACAGAACTTACATTCATTACCACTAGTAATTTATATCTCCTTAATCTCTCAGTGTAATGTGACTTAATATCAACACCTATGATATAAATAAACTGAATGGGTCAGGTTGGGAAACCTGGTGAGTACATAGGGTTTTTCAACCCACAATAAATATAAATTTATTAACTTTATCAAACCAAACAAAACCGATTACCCGTCCCTGTTATCCTCACTTTACGTCCCTAAAACATCTAACACAAGAGACCTAGTCTAAGGGAATTTCATCGGTGTGACAACACATGCTTCGGGGGTTCCTCATCAATTCATGTCAAATAAGGCAACCATGTGGGGGATGGAGTACTGCTGGTGAGCACAAAGTTCAAATAAACACACAGTTCAAATAAACACCTACAACTAGCATTCCACTAGACTGTATAGAATAGTCTGTGGTCATCATCTATACTCTGCTAGATGACTGGATCATTAATAACATCTATAACGAGGCCTCTCATTATTTTATTTTGTCACACAGCAACTATTACATCTACCCATGTTTTACCCAACACATTTTGTAGATATAAAATACATATACAGTTTAAATCGTTTAAAACATGTATACAATTGTTCATCCATCATAGATAGCAAGTATACCGATAATATGCACACACATCACGTAATTTATATAAAATACTTCATATCTTTGTGTAAGCTGAAAGTAACTATGAACTCACTTGAAAAGGTGGTGATTCCGAACTCAGACAACGCTTTGCTTCTTAATTAAAAATAATTTCCTTTGACGAAACAACGGGTTTTATAGAAAACCGGGCTTTTCTTGGAGTAGCATTCCCGAGCCAAACATCTATTCTTCTCGGAGCCATCGAGCACTCTGCGGCTTCCGCCTCGTGCTAGGGAGGTTCCCTAGGCTTTTCGGTGGGTTTCGGGGCTAGAGAGAGGTTCTAGAGAGAGAGAGAGAGAGAGAGAGAGAGTAAAGAGAAGAAAGAATGGGAAAAGTGTGAAGAAAATGAGGGTGAGAGAGGTTCTATTTATAGGGTGAAAAATGGTTGAACTTGGTGGCACAGGTCACCATCTAGTGGCAAGACTTGGGGAGAAAGCAATAACCAAGATTGTACCACATCACCCATTTTCGCACAGCACACTTCCAACTTCTAAAATCCGTAACTTTCACATACGACCTCCGTTTTTTCCGTTATTTATATCCACACGTAGTTAAAAATAATATCTACAACTTTCATTTTGACTCCACCGGCTAATTCTTGACCGATCTTAAATTTAATAGTACGAGGAGATTATACTGTTAAATGTCCGCGTAAAATTCATAACTTCTACATACGGATTCTGTTTTCGTCTGTCTTTTTGCCGTTGAGTTCTTATTAATGAGATCTTCAATTCTCATTTAGGTCTCATAGGCCAAAAACCGCTCGATCTAAAATTCGAGTTTCGGGCCGTGCACTGCTAAGTCAAATCTTATAAAATTCATAACTTCCTCATACGAAGTCAGATTTGGGCGTTCTTTTTTGTACATTCACTGTTTAACGTATACTACAAATTTTGTTTATATTTATAATGCTAAAAAGTCCTCCATCGTAAATTGACTATTTACGTCTCCCGGTGTCGTGTCGGTTTTGCCGTAAAACTTCGACGGACCATAACTTCTTCGTTATAACTCGGATTCCGACATTCTTTATATGCATGGAACCCTTGAGACGGATTCTACAACTTGGTTAAGATTATTTATTCTAAGTAATATTTTTTCGAATAGTCAATTTCGACCCCTATTACTCTAAATTGATTAGTTCGGATCTACAAGCATTACAATTATCTCCCACTTAGGATGATTACGTCCCGAAATCATCAACGAAACATGGCTCACATGATGACTCCATACATCATATATTCATCCTAAGTAATAACCATAACTTTGATGTTTCTTCGAACGAATATCTAACGCTAAGACTTCCTGA